TACAGTTTTAAAAAACACATTTGTTTTCTTCATGCGATAAAACTGTTTATCTGCATTCACAATATCTTTCATTATTTTCTGGAGCAGATATTGGGCTGTTTCTAATTGTGTGAAATCTAAATGTATTGAAAGGGTGCATTATATATTTTCATGAACTTCTGGAGCTTTCATTATTGCAGATCATTGTGAAGAGTGCAGTAACTGATCATCTTTCCTGAAGAAACTACACCAAAATCACTAATTCATTCTGAAATATCCTGTACACACAGGATTTGGGGGGAGGGAATGGAGGAATGTGGAATTAAAGGAAGGCCACATTTGCATTAGTTGTAAAGTAAAGGAGAGCTAAACCCATTGATCTCATAGGTTTATTGTGGAGCACTGAAGATCCTCATTCAATGTGGTGTGTATATACATATTTAATATACATACAAGAATCCTAAATTGTTCTTAATAAGATCCTGAGCTTTTTTTGGGCCTGTGGTTCTCAAATACTATTTGTTGCATCACTATGCACCCTGCTAGCTCAAAAAGATGCAGAGGTGTTCTCAGTGATGCTGTGCAACCTCTCTCTCCTGGCAGTAGCAGGAGAAAAAGACACATCTGCAGAGAGATGCTGTGCAACCTCTCTCTCCTGGCAGTAGCAGGAGAAAAAGACACATCTGCAGAGACCCCCCTAGCAGGTTACTCAGAAATACACTTGTTTTCCCCACAGTTACTCCCAAGGCAGCAGTGCCATGCACTGTCCAGCATAAGAAAAGAAGATACCAAGTATCTATATATGCAAGGAGAAAAAAAAAACATCTTTCTTAAAGTAGCAGAACTTATTCCCTACAGATTGTGCTGCTAATTGATTACTAAGGAAATTCCAAAGGGCAGATCATTTTTTTTCAGGGAAGATCTATAGGATGACACTTTGTATCCTATTCAAAAATTTTAAAGCATGTTTTAATATTTCATTGTCTTATTTTTAATTTAAATAATTTGAGTTGTTCAAGCAGGTTGGAAGGGACCACAGTGGGCCACCAGATCCAGCTTCCCTGCTCAAGTGGGATCACCCCAGAGCACACATGGCACAGGATTGTGTCCAGACAGTTCTTGGATTATTTCCAGCAAGGGAGACTCCACAGCCTCTCTGGGCAATCAGTTCCAGTGTTTTGTCATTAAACAGGAAAGAAATTCTTCCTCATGTTCAGGTGGATCCTCTGTACATCCATCTGCCCATTCCTCTTGTCCCATGGCCCCACGGAGCAGAGCCTGCTCCATCCCCTGTCCCCTCCCTGCAGACACTGACACACAGGCATGAGGGCCCCTCTCAGCCCTCTCTTCTCGAGGCTGAACAGGCCCAGCTCCCTCAGCCTTTCCTCACTGAGATGCTCCAGTCCCTCCATCTTCTGTCACCCTCTGCTGGATCTGCTCCAGGAGCTCCGTGTCTCTCCTGTCCTGAGGAGCCCCGAGCTGGACACAGCACTCCAGGAGATCCTCACAGGGCTCAGCAGAGGGGCAGGATCACATCCCTGACCTGCTGGCAGTGCTCTTCCTAATGCACCTGTCCTGGGGGCACTTTATGATACTGGTATCCCCAGTTTCCTGGTTTATGTTATATATTAAGTTCTGCACCTTTAAGACCCTAAACTAAGATAGCACCTTAATGAGTGGAGTTCCTGGTACTGTTTATAACACAGAGCTTTTTTAGTACATGCAAACATTACATTTTGAATTTGAAATGCATGGGGGGGACATAATAAAAAATAAAGTAGGGCAAAAGAGAATCTATCTTCCATCACAGCTCTTCCTTTATATAACTGTAATGACTTAGGTTTTATAACACCTTCCTGGAGAACATCAGGTATCTTCACTACTATCAAACACCTACCAGGAGATTACAGTATTGCCAGAGAAAT